CCGTATTATAATAGAGACCCAAAAAGGGACCATCATTTTGACATCCCCCCATATTCTATGTGTTTATAAATCCATTTCCCACACAAAAGTCCCTACATGATTCTTCAGAAGGGATCTTAATTCCCTTGAACTAGATGACAAGGTTTTTTGTTGAGAGGGCGGCGGTTGTATTGCCAGGCGGAGAAGATGATTTTAGACATCTTTGATGTATTCCTTCCGAAAAATCAGGGGACCAGTGTGTACCCAAATAGTGGAATCCTTATCCGCGGAACCCCTAGAAAGGACCCCACAGAGGAATCCTTATCCGCAGATCCCCTAGAAAGGACCCCAGAAATTCGGAACTTCCGACTTGCTGTTTGGAAAGCAGAATCAGGACACCAATCTGCGCAGCAGCCGCCTGCCGCTGCTTGGGACTGGATCTTGAAATTATTTACTTCTGGCTAGCTAGGAATGAAGGAGTGGATCCTGATAGTATTCCCTATATATAACCCCTTATAGTAGTTTCCACTTTTTTTTCCATTCCTAACCAAAGGTAAGATTAAGCATTCTGTGATGTCGTTCTATTCCTTGAGATGGGTTACACATCCATGCTGGACTGCCAAAAAACTCACTCTTGAATTAATTTGGGTGTTTTCCCACAATTAGGGGTTCTATTTTGGGGGTCCCAATAATACGGATTGTAGTATTTTGGGGTCTAAATTGACATTCCTCTATATTGGGAAACTACCATTCCTCCTGGGAGAATGCTCACAGGACTATCGACAGCCCCCGCCGGGGCAGTTCCCTCATCCAGCTCACCTACCAGTGCCTTTGCTGCACATGCGAATATACGATAACATCTGTGGGTACTAGCCTATTACGCTGACTAGGTAACATCGGGTAAAGTGCAAGAGGATGGGAAATCACAAGTAAGACTGGTCAAGCGGATAGTAGTCCTTGGGAACAGTCAGCACACCTATCCTTGACCCTAAGCCCCAAAACCTTCGACCCTAAACCCAGCCCTAAACCTTGTAATCGCCTCCTGTTGAGTAGTGGTATTATTATGTTGGAAGTAGAATTCTCAGTATCATGACATGACGGGAGGGGATAAGATTGAACCTCAGGCCCATGCGCAGCCGCCTCCAGCCTACTATGGCCTGGACCTCACGAAGCTCGCTAATGCTGACAGGGATCATCACCCATCCTCACACAATTTCCTAAATGGGGGTATCTTAATATTAGGCTTACCATTTTGGGGCTCCCAATAATAAGGATTATGGTATTTGAGGTCCATATTGGGGTTCCCCTATGCCACAATCATGATTCCAAGGCTTTCCAATGCACAGAGCAATCCATCCATTGTGGGATACTACCACAGCATATTGGCTTGCACGTTTAGTCAGAGGGGTCGGCTGTTGCAAACGCGCTTTCCTGAGCTCAGCAGGTACAGTGACGGCCTTTTCTGTTTCCACTTTCAGGTTGCCCTTAACCCTGAACTCTGTTTCCCCCGCCAGCAGTGCGACGTGTGTGTCGAAACCCTAAACCGACCTTTATGTGCCTGCGGAGTTGACACTTGAAAGGGCGGGGGTTGTAAATTAGGGTCGTCACCTGTCCATGTTCCTGCCCCAAAAGCATTTCTTTCTTTGGTGGTCCTAATCCTTCAGTGTTCATAGCAGGTCAAAAACTATGTATATATGTATGTTCATTGGAGAGTAGCAATCCGAACATTACTGTTTTCAAGAGGTGTGTCCCGCTTACAGATCGCAAAATACTTTCACTCCATCATGAACCATGTCACACCAAAAGCACCTCATAATTGCAACTTGCGAGTGGAACTGTTCTGAGCCACCTTCTGCGAGGTATGTATCCACCGGCGCCAGTCTCAGACTTTTGCAACAACACACTTCCATTGGGAAGCTTTCAGAAACTGGGAGCCCTCATGTGAGAGATTACAATGCAGTGGGGTCTGTAGCGGGACCTAGTTGAGGAAGTATCAAATTTTGTGTCATGTGGAGATGGGTTTTACGGATCATTCTCGGGTTTCTCATGGAGATTCCTGAGATCACGCACGGACGGGCACTGTCCGTCGGAGCATCCTGTCCGGGAATGCTCATGCAGCGTATGCAGCAAGGCGCAATACTCGCAGCATGCGGGTTATCCGCCACCTGGGTGCGCCACGCGGGTCAGTCAAATCATGAATGGCAGCGCTGCAGAATGCCAATGTGATACATTGACCCCAGGATGTATGCATAGACATGTAACTGCTCATCGTTCATGTTGCACTTCTGGGTGCTAGGGATTTTCTGTATTTGGCTGCGCTTCTTGCATTGGGACCCGGGAACTTCCACTAGACCTGACATAGGCTATAGTCCAAACTCCTCAAAGGGGGAGTTTGTAGGGGCGGGGGGAAAACTAGAGATTATTAAGGGGGATGCCAGGAGTTTAGGCTATAGCTCACGTGAGCTGAGCAGAGATACCTGGCACAGATGCAGCGGGTTTGCAGATCGCTTTGTTCTGCATCTTCGGCGTGAAAGGTTTGCGCGACAACTCTCGCCGTTTTTCCTGGCAAGAGGGATAGAATCCGCTGGCACGCCACTGGATGCAGAGATTGGAATTCCTTGTTTGTCGGAAATGCTGCTTTCGTGTCAAGACTGGCGTTGCGGATGGGTTGAAGTCAAAGAAAACAGAAACAGGTAATCCTACCGCACACGTGGAATTCGAGGAGTGAAGTGCCTCCAGCCTTCACTGGACATCCTGCGCTTGATGCACCTTTTACAGATATGGTGAAGCTAGACAAACTCATGAACTAGATTTGGAATCTGGTTAGTCTCTATAGAGAACATCAGATCTACAGCAGATGATGAGAAGAGAGATGCACTGGCAGCAAACCACAACTCAGCCTGCATGCTAGCACATTCTGACGCAGATACGGGTGCAGAGAGTATCTCAGCGACTTTCCACAGCCCATGCTCCCTCTGCGGCAGCAACCTCAAGGATGCGAAGGCTCGCTAGCAAATGTGCTCCATTCTTTTTGGCTAGCTGCCGGAAAGCTTGCAGAGAGGATGTAAGCTGGATTGGCAATGTGGGTTGTATTTGTATATATATATGGTAGTTTCGCAGAATAAGGGTACCCCAATACAGACCCCAGTATACTATATAGTCCTCATTATTGGGACCCCCAAATAGGTACCCCCAATTTTGGGATTCCCCCATATATACCTATATAACCCCCATTATAGTAGTTTCCATTTTCTTTCCCACTGTCCCTATATAACCCCAATAATATAACCCCTATACGTAGTGTATCTAAGCATAGATATTTACGCCCCTGGGCAGGTCACCGGGAGCTCGACCGGGCCAGTCAGATGCCTCCAAGCAGGCCCCCCGGGCAAGCAGTGTCCACAGAGCTCCCCCTTACCACCCTCCTTGTACCCGGGATATATGGTCCCTAATGGTGGATACTTAGGCCCTAAAAAGGGTAGGAGGAGGGTCTAGGTATATAATTTCTCAGAAACAGGTAAACCTTGGAGCCTTCTACTTTTGTGTCTGTTTCTTCTTCTGCCACTCCATGGTTGCCTCATCCTACAAGACTGGTGTAGCTTAGCCATCTGTTGCTGTGCCAGTGAAGAGTGTGACTGCCAACATTACCGCGGCCCTTACCAAGTTTACCGGCAAATCTCGGCGCAGTCCTCTCAGGAGACGAAAAAGGAGGTTGGCACGTTTGGAACCTCACCAGGGAGAGCTGGCAGGAGTGCAGGTGCCGGTCGGCGGACTGTGGTGGCCAGTCAGCAGAAACTTTCTTCAGGTTTCATGAGTCGCAACAGAGGGATTGTGAGTACCCCTCTCGAAATTCATTTTGCGCCCACTTGACGTATTCATTGTATTCATGAGCTTCCGATATGGATGAGCACAGGCTCACATAGAAATGGTGCCGCAAAGACTGCTATTCAAAGGGTTTTGGGTCTCTTCAGTTGGAGCCTGCGAGATTCTTTTAAGGACTTCTTTGCCCACAGACGTGCTGCACATAACTTCTGTACTGATGTCGACATTCATTTTGGGTCAGGCTTCTGGGTCCCATCTGCAACCCTATGATCCTTGGGCACGCCCATGAGGCGTCGGGCGCATCACAGTCCTCGACCACACGAAGCAAGTCGCAATCCTCAAGTGGAGGCAGATTAGGATGCATGACGAGCATGGAAATTGCGTAAGCAGTGTATGGGCATGCATTGATAGGCCCGGACATGTATCGGCATGCCGGCCTAGGCAACATTCTTGTTCACGGAAGAAGGTCTACATATATGTGATACTGTGGGCTGCGGTATTTGTTGAACCGTGAATCCAGCATCTTTTCAAGGGCGGAAGATCCTGAGCCGCAGACACTCCTCCGCCCTGTGGGCCTTGTTTGGGGAAGCTGCATTGTATGCCTCGTTACTTGAGAAACCTGCGAGCTGGATGTTGCATGCGTACTGCAAAAGGATGCCTCTGACATGAGCCCCAAAAAGAGAACCCATCAACCTCCCCTTTTCATAGCGTAGCCTATGTCCTGTCTGGTCCCTGCTGATCTATATAACATACTCCCCTCCCTTTGCTATATAGTAGTTTCCACTATCTTTTCCAATATCCCTGTATATATAAGCCCAATATAGACTCTAATACCCTGCATGTCGTAGTTCAGAGGGAGCCCACGATTTTTAACTGGCGTGCTTGGCAGTTCCATCGCGGCGTCCGGCCAATGTGAATCCGCGAAGCCAGCCCCTGAGAATCCTTGTAGAAAGGGGCTGGAATGGGGACCCTAAATAAAGAGGGAGACCCAAGAATATAGTAGGAATATAATAGGAATCTAAAGACCCTGGAAGGTATATTGCGTTTATATTACTACTATATTCTTGGGGTGCCCTGTTTTGAGGTTCCCGTTACAGTCCCTTTACTGTATGCTCCCCTGTCAGCTTTTTCGAGAGGCAATCACCTCCCCCTTCAAGCTCCAACCTACCGTGCAAACATTCCCAGGGGGGATGTGTCTACCTAGGCTTTACATAGGGTTATATAGGGGTAATGGAACATGAAGTGGAAATTACTATAGGGATAGGGGGATGGAAAAGAAATGGAAGCTATTAGTTGGGATTTTGGGATTAGGGACCAACAATGTATGGTTTTCTATGAAGGGATATATTTTCTACAAAGAAGGGTTGCGGGGTTTGTATGATGAGTAGGGGAAGGAGTGCGTGTTCACGAGCAGCTGTAATAAGGGTGAGAAGTACACCCCCGTTCTTGAATGTAACTTGCCTTACTTGTGAACCTTGATACACGGGGCCTGCACATGAGCTCCTGTCTAAACTCCTTTAGGGCTGTGTTTTGGGTGTTAAAAAGGGTGATACTAGGAGTTTGGATTATGGCTCGCATGAACAATGCTGGGATGTTTTGGATTTAGGTGTGCCTTGACTGGTGTTATACTTGCTCCAGAAGAACTCTTAGTGGGATCCGCAAACAGGGAACCCCAAGGATATAGTAGGAATATGATATGTGTACACATGGATACATATATGTATATGAATCATACCTAGCAGAGTCTCCATATTCCTATTATATTCCTATTATAACCCCTACATTCCTGGGTTCCCTGTTTGGGATAATATGAGTCCCTTGTCTGATTGGGGCATTTATTGGCATCCTTCCGGGCGTGGGGGGTTACGTCATAGCCAACCTATTAGGAGGAGCTGTGGAGTCTACCGCTGCACCCTATACTAGAGTTACTGCGGGCATGTGAGAAATAAGCATAAGTTGGACTTAGCAGAAGTTTTCTTGGTAAATCTGTTCAGGCTCTTAGG